GCAAGTGTCTTAGCCACTATGCTACCAGAGCTCCCAATTTATTCTTAGTTGTCTTAAATTTGTATTATTAATGTCAGTGGGATATTTTTTCTATTATGCTATGAAATGATTGTCTTAGTTTCCTAATGCTGTTTATAGAACAGAAATCTGTTTTCTCACAGTTTAGGAGGCTAGAATTCTGTCAGTTCTAGGGAAAGATCCTTGTCAGTCAGTAGCCAGGGAGTACTTTGATTGCATTTGTCTTCCCCAGTATGTGCTTATGCAGTCTGTGTCTAATCTGCCCTTTTTATAACTAACTCAGAGGTGATAAGTGGTGTAGTAGTTAAGGCATTTGGCTGCTAATCAAAAGGTCAATGGTTCAAACCTACCAGGCACTCCACAGAAGAAAGATGAAGCAGTCTGCTTCTGTAAAGATTTACAGCCTTGGAAACCCAGTGGGTTCACTATGAGTCAGAATCAACTCCATGGCAGTGAGTTTGGCTTGGTGTTACACCGATATGACCTCACTAGCATAACAAATAAAATCTTATTCTCGAATGGGATTACATCCACAAATAGATGAATTAATATTCCGACAGATATATTTTGGGAGGGCACAGTTTTATCCGTAACAGTAGGTTATTATTGGTATATAGGAAGTTATTGTTGCTATATGTATATTATTAAACATCGTTGTGGCCTTTCTCATCTTGTCTCTAACTTTGATAAAGTGGATGGTAGTACTTTCTATTAAATATAATTTCAAATGATTAGACAGCTATCTTTTAGCAGGCTAGATTGCCCAACCTTCCTTCCAAGGAGTGGCTGGTGGGTTTGAACTACCAGCCATCTGGTTAGCAGTCAAGTGCCTTAGGCACTATGCCACCAGAGCTCCTTGATAGCTTTTTAGATGCTTATATTATTAAGATATACTTTTTGGTCCTTGTGTACTTTTGATACATTACTGGATTTGATTTTCTGTTGTTTATTGGATTTTTATGTTACTGTTACTTCTCTTCTTAAAAATGTCCAGTGTTTCTTTGCTTCCTTCAGAAGAAAGCTAGGACTTTGAATTAATATTAATATCTCTCTAAATCTGACTCCATCTTTATTAACCAATTGTGTCTGCTTCTCTCAAGCATGTAGCCTTCTTTCTAATCATAGTTCATCTCATTTTCCCCTAAATAGCCTTTTTCATGCCTTTGCAATTTTTTAATGTCAATAATCTGATAATCTTTCTGTTAGCAAGCTGTTACCATCCTTTCAAATTTGTTTCACGTGCCCTCTCATCTATAATGCATGCTTATGTGTGTGTAAAACTTGCCTATAAACTTTGTTATCTCTCAAGGAGATGAGTATGTAGAAATTACTAAATACCACATATACACCAGCATGTCTAGATGGTAAAAAAAAAACTAATGTAGAGAGAGGGTTTATGTTTTCTAACATGAGATATGGCACCCAGATTCCTCTTCAAGGAAGAAACTGTCGCTCTAGCTGCTAAGACTGGTGTTAGGACGCACCCATCAGCTGTCAGACTCTTCATGGGTTGGGTTGCCTCAGCCAAATAGAACATTCTTTCCCAAGGACATGCCCTTTCAGGAACCATCTACATCTAGTGCCTTATGGAAGTATGGATAGAAGGGACTGGCCATTTCCGCCCTGTGCAGGACAACTCTGACAGGCCCTTTCAGCTCCAGAGTTCCTCTAGGGGTCTGCTGAGGCTATTGAGCCTGTATCATAGTTGACTTCTCTAACTGTCCAATCTTACCTCTCTTCTGTTCTACAAGTATTGATCCCAAGAGCACCCTCTAATAAACATTCTGAACACTAAACTCTACCTCAGAGAACTCAAACTGCAACAAGTATTTTGTTTATGTTTCTGTTACAGCCCTTATATATTTGTTTTGTTTGTGTATATGATTTCCCCCACCCTTTGAAATATGACTAGCTTGAAAGTAAGGACCATTCTGGTATTCCTAGCATATAACAAAGCATTTAAGCCTTAGTAGGATTTTTTTTTCAGCAATATAATTTTATTAATATGAATTATTTTTTAAGCCTTAGTAGGATGTTAATATGTATATTTTACTTAACTGAAAAAATTTTGAAATATCAAAATTATTTAGAGTTTTAAAAACTTTGTTTTCTAGCTTTCAGATGATATGGAGACAAAGAAGAATGTTGAGGTATTTAAAATTTATGTTCTGCAAGATAGCATATCAAAATTATTATGATGGGTTATAAGAATGTTTAATACAGAGACAGCTATAGACATTTGTAGAGATTTCAAAGGACAAAGAGTTGGCAGTAGGTATAGAAGCTTTCTCTTTCTATCAAATCCATTTCTTTATTGAATAGCTAAGCTTTCTGATCATTTGAGTATATGTCAAACTTAGTTCTCAAATATGATTTTGTTATGTTTTTTGATTTGGCATATGACTATACCAGTTGTCTTAATTCCAGAGAAGCAGAAAATGGTGGCATAGTTTCTAAGGCATTTGACTGTTAACCAGAAGGCTGGCAGTTCAAACCCCCACCAGCTACTCCTCAGAAGGAAGGTTGGGCAATCTACTTCTGTACTGATACTGCCTCAGAAACCCAAGGAGGGGTAGCTATGAGTTGGATCCAACTCAACAGCAGTGAGTTTGGTTTTTTTTTAGGTAAGATAAGTCAGCCCCAGGGTTACAGGTGAGGAGAGACAACTCAGGGATGCCCGGAGTAGCAAGTGGAAAGAGCAGGAGAAAGGGGATTAAAAGCCAGGAAGCCAGAGAGAAGAGCAGTCAGTCGAAGGGATTAGGTGAGGAGAGGCAACTCAGGCCCACCCAGAGTAGCAGGCCGAAGAACAGAAGAAAGGGGATAAAAAGCCAGGAACCCGGACAGAAGAGCATTCAGCCCCAGGGTTACAGGTGAGGAGAGACAACACAGGGATGCCCGAAGTAGCAAGCGGGAAGAGCAGGAAAAAGGGGATTAAAAGCCAGGAAGCCAGAGAGAAGAGCAATCAGCCAAAGGGATTGGGTGAGGAGAGGCAACTCAGGCCCGCCCAGAGTAGCAGGCCAGAAGATCAGGAGAAAGGGGATAAAAAGCCAGGAACTCGGACAGAGGAGCAGTCAGCCCCAGGGACAACTCAGGGACGCACAAAACAGCAGGGCAGAAGAGCAGGAGAAAGGGGATTAAAAGCCAGGAAGCCAGACAGAGGAACAGTCAGCCACAGGGACCCAGGTGGGGGTGATACGAG